ACCTGCTCATCCTGCACAAGGAACGTCCTGAGTCACGAGGTCTAGGGCCAGGTGAGGAGGAGCTGCCAATCAGCATCCTCGGAAGCCTGGTGGACATCTCTTACAGCGAGACCAAGAAGAAGCATGTGTTCCGGCTAACTACACCTGACTTCTGTGAATATCTCTTTCAGGCCGAAGATCGGGATGATATGTTGGGCTGGGTTAAAGCTATCAGAGAGAATAGTCGAATTGAGGGGGAGGTAAGGAGCAGCTCAAAATACACCAATATATACATTTGTTTAAACTCAATCATGCCTGCAGTTTTCAATGTATTCACCGCTTCAAACCTTTGACAGAAATCTTTTCATAAAACAAATAAATGGAATGTAAATGAGAAAATGTCAGGCTTCGAAAAATGTTGGGCATATATGTTTAAAATATTAACTGCCTATTTAATTTTCAAACTGTTTACTTACAGGACCCCGGCTTTGCCAGCCAAGCTTTAATTAATAAGAAACTTAATGATTATCGCAAACTAAGGTAAGTTATCTGCAAAGTTTTCCAAACCACTGTTCTTCGATGGCATATATCAATTAAAAAAAAAAATATTTTATTATTTACTATTGTCACAGTATTTCTGGGGCCAAGCCTGAGACTTCTCCTAAAGGGACAAGGAGTTTAGGGATCCGACCAGATCTGTTGTGGACTTCAGGACTTGGTGCTCCAAGATCTCCAAAGCAAGACAATGCCAGTAAAGGTAGGACCTGTTCTCAGATTTAACCAAATTCTTGGCCATAACATTTTTGTTTTACATTTGTTTTTTAATTTGGTAAGTCAGCCTTTTCTTATGCTTATATAAACAATCCTGTAACAGCCTTGTTTTGGCTGTTCTATGATTTTTGATGGCACAGTACTTGGCTTATCACTACACCATGTCCTTGTAGATGAGGGACCAGCTTCCAAAGTTGCTTGGGGAATAAACCTGATGAAGAAGAACAAAAAGTGCCCTCCGAGAGCATTTGGTGTGAGACTGGAAGATTGTCAACCGGCATCAGAGAATATGGTAAGACTTTGTAGTGAGTTCTAGTGAAAGACAATTGTTTACCCGTTTCTGAAAACTGACACTTTTGGTTGAGGGGCATATTGAACCAGATTATGATTGAGGAAACCTTTCATGCATTTTGTTCTAGAAACTAGATTCTAGAATAATTCTCATTCAACTCTCTTTTTGAATTTGGCGTGCAGATTTTCAACTTTTATGCTTCATTTAGGAGGTCACGTGGAAGGTTACCACATGATTGGACCACTTAATCTAAGACAATTAAAGCTTTGTTTTGCCATTCATGAGTAGGGTGAAATTGATGAAGCTGGTGTGGTATTTATTAGCAAACACTTAATCTTCACTTGGAATGTAGTAGTCCATGCATACCTTCTAATGCTATAAGAGAGAGACAACTAGTGGCTTAATTATTTCTAGGCTAAATCATTGGACTTGGAATCTGGAACACACTTAGCTGGTCACATCATTGCCCCATTTAAAAACCTATCAGGGAAAAGGTTCTATCCTTAGTTCAACTTGGAGAACAATAACATTATTGTCAACCTCTCCCAGGAAGTTAACTGGATCATAAATGCCTAACATTAAGTCAAGCATAAGACTTGCAAGATAGCTTGCTAGACCCTGCAGGAGCCTTATGAATGTAATTAAAGGATCACTCTAGGCACCCAGACCACTTCAGCTTAATGAAGTGGTCTGGGTGCCAGGTCCCTCTAGGATTAACCCTTTTTTTTTTTTTTTTTTATAAACATAGTTTCAGAGAAACTGCTATGTTTATAAATGGGTTAATCCAGCCTCTAAAGCCTCTAGTAGCTGTCTCATTGACAGCCGCTAGAGGCGTTTGCGTGCTTCTCACTGTGAAAATCACAGTGAGAAGACGCCAGCGTCCATAGGAAAGCATTATGAATGCTTTCCTATGAGACTGGCTGAATGCGCGCGCACAGCTCCTGCCGCGCATGCGCTTTCAGCCGAAGAGGAGGAGAGCTTCCCGCCCGGCGCTGGAAAAAAGGTAAGATTTAACCCTTTCCTTGCCATCCAGCCCTGCGGGAGAGGGACCCTCAGGGCACTATAGTGCCAGGAAAACGAGTATGTTTTCCTGGCACTATAGTGGTCCTTTAAAGTTAGATCTACACAGCAGCAGATAAAAACTTTTAAAGTTAATTAACATCGGATTGAAAATGAAACCAATTTTGTTTTCATGCAGGCTGTGTGAGTCAGAGCCAGGGGAGGTGTGGCTAGGGCTGCATACAGAAACAAAAGTGATTTAACTGCTAAATGGCAGTGAATTAAGCAGTTAAACTTCAGGGGCATGATCTATACATAGAAACTACTTTATTAAGCTAAAGTTGTTTTTGTGACTAGAGTTTCCTTTTAATTTTACCAAAGTTGTATTTCATTGTTTTTGGGCTGTGGTGAGATGTTGCTTTATTTTTGCTTTTGTTGCAATAATAGGACCAAAAACTTGGGCGACTCTTTATGCCCCACACCGCCCATATGGAATTGTATACGTGAACATTCGACTTCAATTTTACTGACCCTACAACCAATATTTCTGTTCTCCTATGGGACCCTTATTGGGAAATGGGGGAAAGCATAAATAAAAGTTAACTGTTGCTTTAATATGCTTCCAATAGTCCGGTAGGGAGTTAATATGTACCACTGGGACTGGAGAGGATTTTTATTCTGGGTCACGTGACAAGCTTGTTGAAACCATTAACGCCAGGAGATTCATTAAAGCTTAGATAGTAATCCGTATTTAAGATTTATGCTGATTGTTTTCTTCCCATTTTAAATCCCCCTCTCCTTTTATACCAGTATCATCCACAGGATCCAGGACAAGTCTTTAAACCCTATAGTTTGTGCAGTTTTACCACATTCTGCCTAACTATGTTGTACATAAGACTAATAGCATTGTCATTGTATATATTTTGAGCACATTGCTAGTTGCTGGTTGGATGTATCTTAGCAGGGATTCCATTGGCGCCTCTGGATATGTTGTATTTGTGCCTGTCGGGGTTATTCTGTACTAAAATAACCAACCTGGGGCATAGCTTTTTTTTTTCTTTTTTCAGGTGTTTTTCCTTAAATTTGAAATTCTCTTTGAATTCTCACTTTAGTAGATAAGCCTGTAAGTATTGGATTTTTATCGATGTCGTGCTATGTAACTTAGTACAGATTTTTATTATGACTCCAAAAACCAAGTTCTATTTAAAAATGTTCACATTTTGTGCCTTATCATTCATTCCCTCTGAATATCTTTTGTCTTGTAGAGGGTTCCTCTCATTGTTGAGTTGTGCTGTACGCTGGTGGAACAGAAAGGGCTTGAATACATGGGAATATACCGCGTTCCTGGAAACAATGCAGTTGTGTGCAGTCTGCAGGACCAACTCAACAAAGGACTTTGTGAAACCAACATACAGGATCAGGTGAGACATTCATCTGACAAGCTTGCTCTACTTTTACTGATATATATAAATATAAATAAATGTGTGTGTGTGTGTGTATATACAGTTGTAATCAAAATTATTCAACCCCATTTGAAAATCAGGTTTATTGTCAAAACTTACAGACTTTCAGCTGTTTGTAACAAATAAATCAAACTTCAAGTGGTTTCCCCAAATTGAACAGAAAATGCAACTTATAATGACTTCTCCAGTCTCAAAATTATTCAACTCCCTGAATAGAATCCCTCACAGCAGCACAAATATGCAAAACAAGTGTTGTCTCAAGCACACCTAAGGCAACTAATCAAAGGATTTGATGAGTGTCACGTTTCATTGCATGTTAGAAATATGATGAAGTCAAAAGAATGGTCCACAAACAAGGAACAGGATAAAAAATATAGCAAAGGCACTGAATGTTCCTAGTGACAACTTTGGAAGCATAGTTAGCAAGTTAAAAGTTGAAGGAACAGTGGTTACACTACTTTGACGGGGCAGAAAAAGGAAGCTATCAATGGCTGCAACCAGATTTATGAGAAGGCAGGTTATGAAAAGCCCTCGAGTGACTGCAAAAGACCTGTGGCAACATTGAAGGTTTCCATGCCAGAACTTCAAGATGTACACCAATACTGACCCAAAAGCACACAAAAGTCTCCTCCAATATACTCAAAATCATACAAATAAGTTACAGAAGTTTGAAACTTTTCGGCTTAATGGATCAGCGTTATGTCTGGAGGAAGAAGAATGAATCTTATGCTGACAAGTACACTCTGCCTACAGTTATGCTCTGGGGCTTCTTTGCATCCTGTGGAACTGGAATCCTGCAGTGTGTGGAAGACAAGACGGATTCATTAAAGTATCAGGAAATTTCTAGGAGAAAATGTAATCTTGTCTGTGAATTAACTTGAAGCTTGGGCATCATTGAACCTAAAGCAAGACAATGATCCCAAATTCCACCAATGCTTAGTTTGCAGAAGAAGTCCCGTAGAAGAAATTCTACAGTGGCCATCACAGTCACCTGACTTGAAACCCATAGAAAATCTCTGGTAGTATTTGAAGAAGGCATTTGATGCACGCAAACCCAATAATATTACTAAACTGGTGGCCATTGCTCATGAGCAATGGGCTAAGATTCCTCAGGAATGATGCCAGAAGCTGGTGGCTGGCTATCCATCTCGTTTGCAGCACATCATAACCGCAATAGGGTGCTCTACTAAGTACTAAAGATGCTTGCCATGAAAGTGTTGAATAATTTAGAGACTGGACAAGTCATTATATGTTACATTTTCAGTTGAATTTGGGGAAACCACTTGAAGCATTTGTTGTGTTGAGCTGTTTCAATTGCTTTTGTTTGATTTTATTCTTTGCAAACACCTGAAAGTCAGTAAATTCTGACAATAAACCAGATTTTTATTTTATTTTATTTTTTAGTGGGAGTTGAATAATTTTAATTACAACTGTATATATGTGTGTATGTATGCGTGTGTGTGTGTGTGTATATGTATGTATGTATATATATAAATGCCAAAATACCAGCGTATTGTAGTATGCAATGATATCTTTGTTTTTTTTATAGGACTAACATAATATTTCAAAGACAAGTATTCGATGTTTGTCTTTGAAATATTATGTTAGTCCAATAAAAAAGGTATCATTGCATACTGCAATGCTCTGGTATTTTGGCATCTTGTCTACTGGACTACTGTGGCTAATCCAATTCCCCCATAAATATTCGGTCTGCAAGAAGAACTCAAGTGACAGTATCGATTTATTCATTTATTCCAAAATGCATGAGCAATCGAGAGCAAATACTTTAGCGCATGTGGCTATATTTTTTGCTTCAGTGACAAAAACTTTGCAGGGTCCTTCTGTTTGTTTTTTACAGTTTCCTCTTGGATGTGGAGGACATCAGGCGTCCCCACTTCATAGGAACCTCCACATCCCTGAATAATACCCAGCCCTGCAAAGGGTTTTTGGACATACTTGCATTCATTTTGACCATTTAATGATTCAGATTTGTCACTTACCACAATCCCCGGTATTTATAATGTTCATCTTTCTCACTTTCTGTCGCTAGTTTACTCGGATGCTCTATATGTTTTAATCCCCTGTGTAGAAGCACTGAACCTGTTTTTTAGGGAACCCAAGTAATTCTAGTTGTAGAATCATCATTTCATGTGCAGGCAGATTCTTAAAAATTTGAGTCATTGTAAAGAACACCTTGCTTCTTCTTTTCAGCGATGGCAGGATCTGAATGTGATCAGCAGTTTGCTCAAATCCTTCTTCCGAAAACTGCCTGAACCTCTGTTTACAGACAGTGAGTATCTATATCATTACTTTTGTCCTGCTCTCAATGTTTAAAAATAATTGATTGTTAGTGAAGAACATGTGGAGTAGGAATTGAGCTCTGTGATGTTTACTCGTGGTCTAAGGTGGTATAAATAAGTGTGTTACATTTTGAAGGCTTGAGAAATGTTAGACTGGAGAGGGTTTGGGTTACTTGTACATCAGCAGGAGAGGGTGGACTTATTTTCATAGTATGTGAGATTCTGTTATATGTACGTTTTGAAGAGAAGTGAATATAGTACTGCGATTTGTGAAAGATTGCAAGAAAGGATAGACATTCGGACATCTAGAACGAATGGGGTGTTTGTGAGCTATAGTGAGAAGTAAGTGGACTTTGCGGAGGAAAGATATGTTATTTAAAATTAAGGAAAAATGGTGCAGGATTTGGGAATATGAACATGGGAGGGACTGGACTGATGACCTGTACAGAGAAGGAAATTGGCTCTTAATATACAATGGAGGAAATAGAAAGGAAACGTCATGTTGTTGCCTTTCACTGTTAACGACGTGGCTTTCTTGTGCAGGATTCAAGGGTTCTTATTATATGAGGGGAATGAGATAATTGTAAAAAGTGAATGAGAGATTTACAAGTTCTCATTTTTAAAAAATAATTAATTCTGTCTGCTTACCAAGAGAAATCCAGAGAATGGCTATGGAGAGACTTGGTAGATGAATAAACATGTCATGCAGACTTGAAATACACAGTGATGAGTTTGTGTTGTATGAATGAGGAATGATCTAATCATGGCAATATTGGAGGTTAGTTTTGTCAGTTTGATGTTTTGATTCAAGACTTAGTTGATTCCTATAACGCAAGATGAAATGTGTTGTTTGTTTGTTTTTTTTGCAGATAAGTACAATGACTTTATTGAGGCAAACCGTATAGATGACTCCAGAGAGAGGTTGAAAACGTTACGGAAACTGGTAAACTGGAAACTTGTGAAAAATTATCCTTTGTGATTTGTTTTGCAACCATCTATCACCATACTTTTACAAGGTCTACCCATCCTTATGCAGAGCAGCATTTCTCTCCCAGTTAAAATTCTTATAGCCCACACTCCATCATTCCAACTTATTGATTGTTCATGCAATGGGATCTTCACTTTACACCAGTTTGTGGTGTTATAATGAGGGAAAAAACAGTATATGACCTAATACAAGGAACACTTCATTGAAAATATTTTGTTCTCTGTTATACTAGTGTTATACTAGTATATATATCTGCATGTATTCTTTGGCAGTTTATAATATGTAAAAAATAAATAAAAAAAAACAGCCTTCAAAAAACAGAGACCTATGTGTTTGGAGTGTTCCTTTTACCCTCCCTATACTTTCACAAATGGCTGTGCTAAATCCATTTAGTCTTAGTTTGCTACAATCAGCAAAACATTGCTTCTAATAAGTCACGTCTCTTCAGAGCATTGATCAACCTATTCTAAGTGTGTTGTTGACTTCCAGTAGATTGACTTTTGTAGAAACAAACAAATGGAACAGCACTCATCCAATAAAACCACAGAATGGGTGGGATTAGGGGTCAGCACTACCCCTATAGTGTAGATAATCAAAGAAAAGAAACGGTCTGGGCATTCCAAGGCTCAAAGCAAAAGACACAGTTTATTAGAACAAAAGTGACAAAGCAAAGATTGACCCCAATCAATGTCTTTGACAAAAACCCCTTGGGGTTGAAACCTTATTCTGTGCACTTTTGTTCTAATAAAATGTGCCTATTAATTTGAGCCTGGGAGTGCCCGGACCCTTTCTTTTCTTTGAGTAGATTAACTTTTGTCATGAAATCAGTGAACTGCATATGTGATCCTTTAATGTACATAGATCATATGGAAAAGGTGTTGACGTCATGAGTGAGATATATTTATTACATAATGATACAGCCACATAATGTGTTTAAAATGCTCTTTTATGTGATGTATTCATGTAGCATTTTATTTCCTATTCTATGTTAGAGATACAACAGAACACAAATATAATTGATCTAAAGGATTACTCCAAGCGTCATAATCACTAGAGCCCACTGTAGAAGTTATGATGCCAATGGTTAACCCTCTTACTTGGGTCCCCACGGGCTTGTAGGTCCTATTGTGCCAGTAAAAACTCCCACCAACCATTAGCTCGTTTAGAGCATCAGCTGATCAGTCTCTGCCACTTAATGCATTTCTGTGCTTAGGAATATAAACAGAATTGACACTAACCAGCCTGGAACTCTAGTTCCTGGATGGCTAATGATGCTGCCGAAATTAGCGTTGTATCTCTGGCAGCAGTGGAGTTAAACTCTGTATGTGCAGCGTTTTGGAGCGCCAATGTTGCACATACAGACTGCAGACACCATGACCACTTTTAATCTTGGAATTGGCCATTGTGGTTTGAGTAACCCTTTAACCAGGGCTGCTCAAAAGGTTGGTCCCCAGATGTTGTATAACTACAAGTCCCTTAATGCTCTGCATGTCTTCAGAATGACAAAGCATCATGAAAGCTGTAGTTTTAAAACCTCTGGGGCACCCCTGTTTTAAACCTCCCAGTATTTTAAAGGACCATTTTATACATCTTGCTGAGGTGCATTATTTGTAAGAAGTATCCTATTTTAAACCTGCTTTTCAAAAGTAAGGAAGCTTCTGAATTTTCAGCACGCCAGATGTTGTGCACATCTCCTCAGGATTATGACTGTAAGAGGGAGATGTAGTCCACATCTGTAGTGTCGAAAGTTGCCTACCCATGTTTCAAACACTTCTTTAAAGCTGTCTTTTTATAGAAGCAAATGTTTAACTAGAAAAGCTACAATTTCTGGGGAAATTGTGTGAAGTGTTCTTGCCTCCACCAGTAGTCTACAACTGGAGTGGGCGGAGTAACTGTTATCATTTATATAGCACATTTAATTGCAACGTTGTTGCACAGTTACATTAAACAATACATTTATAAAAACATTAGCAGGTGTTCAAAAGGCCCTGTCTATGACATCACTTGCTGCTGCAGCCTGACACAGGTCAGAGTATTTTGGCGGTTGCCATCTTCAAACGGTCGTATTTTAAAAACTATAACTCCTACAGTGAAGAGCTTTATATTGTGAGAATCACAAGACCCAGACCTACATTTTGATGTATAGTATGTCTCTGAAGTATTAAAAATGAAGGCACAGTCGCAGTTTAGAAATTGCACTTCAAATTTGAGCTTTGTAGAGTGAAGTTTCAATGAATGTCAATGGACGGCGTTAGTTGCAAACAAATGATTATATTGTGAAAACTATCAGGACTATGGCTTAGCCGTTGACATGTTTAGTGGCAGCAGGGATAGCTGAACGTTTTGATATAAGATTTGTGTAGGTGGGCCTGAAAATAAGGGAGTGGTGGCAGTTTAGAAATCATGTCCTGATTTTTCAGCTTTTGCCAGCTCCAACTCTAGCTTTGCCATTCATTCCTATGGGACAAATTGCGCCACAAGAACGACGCTATTCCATGAACCATTCGACGAAACGTTCCACAAAGTAATAGCAATCCGATCGGGAACAATCTGCTCGTTTTGGTAAATTTTTGTCTATGTAGTGTAATAACTGTGGGAGGAGTTAGGGTGGCAAATTTGGCTATAATAATAATAATATGTGTGAGATAACAATAAGTGGTCTTGCTATGCAAGAACACTTAATAATATATATGTGAGATAACAATAAGTGGTCTTGCTATGCAAGAACACTTAATAATGATTGCCCTGTGCATGAGCATAACATGTTGGTTATATTTAAACACATGTTATTTTATCACCTTCAGCGAAGCCTATCTGCTTTGCTTTCCGGGTTATTCACTGACGTGTGATTTGTTGAGAATTCAATTTGAATCCATAATAAATTTCAAAATTTAGACCAAAATAGCAGATTTGAAAAAATTTTCATAGTCCGCTATGTTTTTTTTAGTTCAAGTGATTTGGCAGAAAATTTGAAATATACTTTAAATTCCAGACAAGTCACAATTGAGTGACACTATCTGTGACTGTAACCCATCTATAGGTTGCTCCAAGAGGAATTCATTTGATTTTATTCTGCTTTGTTTTCTCTTTCATGTAACAATAGCATTCTACTTTCCTATCGCTGTTTTAGTGATGGCAGGCAAATGATTACACATCACTTTAAAAACAGCAGTGATAAAGCTATAATGAGGGTAATTTCTGTTTAAATGTTACATTTCCCTTAAGGAATTCTTCTTGAGAGATTTGGAAAGCATGCGTTAGTGTGAGAGAGAGAGAGACGTGATCTAAAAGTAGAGGTTAAGGCTATCAGTCCCAGAGGAAATGGCAGGAAGTTCTCACTAGTTACAGGAAGAGTGAGGGATTTGTGGA